TTTATTTTCAGAATTTCATTTCCCACTCAACTAAACCTACCCTTTACTGATGCGGTAAATTTGAATACTAGACCATTAAAATATATGTTTTTAAAAGTGACAATATTACAAAGTAGCTACAAAGCAACAAAACAAGACTATCTGAAACACTTAACAAATATCGCCATCCCCACTTCCCATTTTCACTATTACAGAAACCCAACCCGGGTGATATATATTACTATTCGTCAAGCCCAAAGCATATTCCCATGCCACTTTTCTCTTCCATTTGTGTTAAGCGACACGGATTTAGATAACCATGCCTAAAGAGCCATTTTGAAGAATGCTTTTCATTTTATTAAGATTCTCTGAATTAGGTGGGTAGTGTATGTGGATAGTGTAACAGAGCTCTGATCTACCTGTGGAAACTCATGCAGTTGACAGCCATCTTTAGAAATTTGCTCTAGATACCAAAAATGATACTGTTACATTCACTCAGAATACAGGAAGCAAGTCTATTTGATACTTCAATTACGATTTGTTAATTACATAATCAGTAACATGTAGTTTTGGTTTGGTTTTTATTGCTTTTTCTCCACCTCCAGAATTTGTTCACACAAAATGTTTAAGTACAGGCATAACTACTTAAGTTCCACATATTTTCACATTCAATGCTTACAACAACCATATGAAGTAGGCATTACTATCAATATTTGTCATGGGAAATGGAGGTTTATAATAGATTAAAGACTTTGCCTAAGGTAACAAATAGTTCATAAGTGAGTCAGAATTTGAAACCAGGTATTCTGATTCCAAAGCCCATGGTTTTGAAAACTCTTGTCAAGATGGCACTGCACGATATGGTTTCAGCCCTGTGCCTTTGCTTCCAATATGTAACAGTAATAGATAAGTTTTAAAAGAGATGATATAAAAGAAATGTGATGATAGTCAAAAACAAGATAAACATACCAGAAGTAGACTATAAACACAAAGTGAGGTACAGTGTACCAGATGGTTTCTGGAATAAGAAGCAAGCATTCCTTGGATCTGCAAAGTAACTGGGATGCTACATCTGCCCCATAGGGAGTAATAATCAGTGCCAAGTTTACTGATTGAGACCTGAAGGTAAGACAAGAGGAAGCTGAATAACTAACACCACCCTTTCCATGGAGCCATGGCTTACATAGAGCTGCTTTCTTGGGGAGGCCAAAGCAAGCAGACATAATCTCACAGTCACATCCCGGGCCAGACTGCTCTTTGATTTAGTGACTAGATTTTTTAGCAGAGAGTCTGGGATGGGAAAGGAGAGGGTACAGTGCCAACACTAAGACATTGGACTGGTGCAGAAGGGCTAGCAATGAGAGAGAGAGAGAATTTTTAAATCCTTCTCACTCCAGTTGAGCCTGAAAACCAAAATTCTAAGCCATTAGAGAATAATACAAAAAGGTACCAGCAAAATTTTAAAAGCAACAGTTACACTAAGTTATTCCAAATGACATGAAAATAATAGAGCAGTTTCAGAATACTTCAAAATAAGCATGTTAGAATTTTGGAAGAGACAAAAAATAACATCAATACAATGTGTAAGAAAGTAAGCAGAAATAGAACATTTGAAGTGATGAGAATCAATTAGAATTTCCAGAAGAGAAAAATATTGTCAAAAACATAAATATTGACTACAGAGTGGACATAGTCAAGAAAAGAATTAGTAAATGGGAAGATATCTCTGAGTAATTCACCAAAGTGTACCATGACAGATAAATATAATAGTGTGAAAGAAAATTTGAGAAATATGTATAATATATTGTCAAACTTTAACATATATCCATTATGGAGCTCCAGAAAAAGAGATTGAGCTAATGTTAAAAGAAGGAATATTTGAAAAGAAAAGTTTCCCACAATTTAAGGAAGATAAGAGTTGTAAGATCAAAGTGTCCAGAAAGATAAACAAACTCTATGCTCTCTCTCCAGTAAGAAGAAGAATAAAACTATACTGTTACTCTCTAGGAAAGCCTTTAAATACCCATAATTTGTCTGGGATGGTTGAATCTAGTCCTATAGATTATCATCTATATTTTGATAGAATAAATCATCTTTAACATAATTTGATCAATGCATTTGAAAGAATAGAGCTGATATGATATTTAGCCTTACAGAGAAGGCACAATTTCACTGCAAAAGATGTCAACTACTACAAGGGTACAGAAGAACCTGAAATTTAGTGACCAAGAGAATTGAAGAAGTAAATCACAGACTGTCATAACCCTGGCACATGTCCAAGCTACTCTGTCATCCCCATGTGAGCTGATAAGTGCACGCACAGATGTGCGCGCGCACAGACACACACACACCCTACCAACCTGGTCTATAGGCAAAGGACAAGTAATCATCAATATGGGAATAAATACATAAGACAAGCAACAAACTGCCACTTGTGATATATTATGTAGCAAATGCTTAGTGTTACTCTTTACATCATTGGTGAAGCATTTTTTTCTTGTTTTATTCAGAACACGTGTCAGAAGATGCTTCTTTTGTTTCATCTACACATTTTTCCAAAAATAAGTGCATAACTAGGAGAGAAGACATTGCCTTAAGACATTAGAGGCATAAGATATGTGTTTATGTTTGTATGTGAATAAATGTTTGATATATACATAAGAGAAATCAGCATATATTAGTTCGTGACCATATATCCACTGTTTCCTAGTAATCAAATACATAATCTAAACATCTATGGAAGACTAGGTTTATATAAGAAAATATACGCTTTCTTAAGATCATGGTATTAAAATTATGTAGTTGATTTCAGTTTTTAAAAGATGGCTTTATCTCAGCAGCAAATCAATAAGTAAATATAAAAAGAAAAGACAGACGTTACTACTTTAAGAATAAATGTTAGGAAAACTAAGAAGCAGGTCGTGACTTTTTCACAATTTACGTACTTTCATTGGAGGGAACCTCATTCTTTTGTAGCTTCTCGCCAAAGCCTAGTAACTTCCTGCATTGTGGCTAGACTTTATAACCAAGGAAAATAATAAAGTTCCCTTTAATTTTTGGTCTTTACATTCGTTTGGAGGGAATAGATAAGTGGTAAGCTTTTTTTTTCAACCTTTATACAAAAAGGATAAACTTTCAAAGGTCTGATTTCTTGGCTTTTCAAAAACCCTCAGCCACACTTTAACTTTACCTGAGATATAGTAAAAGAAAAACCAAAATGATTTACATGTTTCTTTTTTTGACTATTCATATTAAGATAATAACAAAAGACCTTATTAACAAAACACTTTGGGCGACTATAATAAGACCACAATTTTTTAAAGCTCAAAAGATTCATGCAAATGAAATATTCGATATTTTCTTTTTTAAAAAAGAAAGATTTTCACTTCCCTGCAGCACTAATGAACAGCCAGGAACTGTGTATGTGGGCAAGGAAGAATGAACGTAACAGGTGACGAGAGTATAATGAACTTGTTCTCTTAGAAAAGGATTTCTTCATCACATTTTGCAATTGTTGAAGGAAGCTTGTATCAAATCATATAAATAGTTTGGAAAATAATTTTTCTTTTTATACATAGTTTTTGTATAAAGTCAAGCCTGTTACTTAGTTCTAAACAGTTGATTTTTCCCTAAATCTTTGCAAAAGAAGAGCTAAGTAATGCTTCAAAATTGCCTTATAACTGAAAACACATTCATTCTTTCTTAAAAGCTTTCTTCCCTTTGAAAAGTTTTGTAGCCTCACAATAACTCCAATATATTATATTCAGTTTATTAATTTACTTTAGCAAACAGAATGTATAAATCTCCAAAAACAAGAGCCTACTCTAGTAAATTTTATTTTTAAGTGAGCATACAAAATTTATATTACGCAGCTGCTCTTTAAAAAGTCTAAATGAATGTGACGCACAAAGTAACCACACAGACCTCTATCTTTCATCAGATCCACAGTGTACAAGCACATTTTTCACTTCATCTCAGTTGGAAAGAGGTAATACAGTCAACTTGTTAACAGAATTGCTTTTTTAGCAGAGTCAACAACAGCAATAGTATTTTGGCACTTATTAAACTGTAATACTGAATCTGCAATTTTTGCCGAAGAAAAACATTTCATTAGCATTTGTAGGAATATTCTGTATAGGCTCTGATATTTTTAAAATAAGAAGCACATTTAAAATAGAATTATAAGTATGACTACACTGGGAATTAAACACAATTTACACTCTGAGATACTCTTTTCCAGAAAGCATGAGTCTACTAACTTCCAAAATATTTATGCGGAAATGAAAACTACTCGGTATCATTTCAAATTTTTTTAAAGTGTGTAAAGTTTCAATGAAATATGAGCAAACAAGACAAAAAGAAACAAAAGAAGTTTGCATGCTGCTTCCTAAAAGAAATTAAAACAATTCTTTGCCAGGAATAACATCCACATACTACAGGAAGGGAACTGTTGAAATCAAACACACTTACTTTTTAATATGTACAGATGCACTTTTTTCCCCCCTATTTTAGGTTAAAAATAAGAGGACACGCCAGTGATCTTGCTGGCAGTAAGATAACGCACAGACCCTGACCCTTCAACCGGCCAGGAATTCTCACACAAAGCTCTTTTCATGCAGACTGCGCTATATATTCCTAAGATAGGGAGGCAAAACGTGAAGCCGTGGATAAGTGACACAAAGTCGAACTAAATGAAATGTTTACATATATTCTGTCACACTGTTGTTCCTTCATCTATCCCACACATAATTTCCCCAAAACAATGTTGATTCAGTTGAAGAAAAGGATGATTTAAACAAAAGGACAATTTTAAGAAAAAGGACACACAAGACAATACAAATATTGTACTTTTCTCTTTGCATCACCAAGTTTAGTGTGAAATCAAGCAGAAACAAAACCACATCATCTAAGAACTTCTAAGAAATGCTTTTGCTATCATTCCCCTCAAAGCACAAGAGATTTAACTTGTTTTACAACATAGAAAGTAGATTTTAAATATAATATCTTAAATCTGCACTCACCATGAAAAAGCAACAGTTGCGTAGAGTAAAAGTGTGCTATTTTCTGCCCCTGTTCCATTTCAGTTTTGCCTATGGTTGTCCAACACCCAAAAGCCCAGAGCTGCCACCCAGAGGCCCCTTCCACAAGCTGGCTTATTTGCCTGTCAATCTGAGTGCCGGCTTCTCTATTATGCAGCTGTGCACTTTGCTGAAGTTCTAATATAATTTCCATACGCTTCCCACCGCCTGAAGTAGGCGATTTGTTCTTTCAGTTCAATGAATACTCAAATCACTTTTCAGGTAACTCTGTAGGATCAAGCTTTAAGTTGTTCACCCTCAAGTTAAGGAGTTCTTGGTAAGAAGTGGGTGGAGAGAAGTAAGCTCACTACAAGGGAATTCAGAGTGTAATCAGAACGCAGAGAAAAACTTCCTCTTTTTTCCTTCCTTGCTAGGCTGAGCTACTAGTGCCTCTCTCACAGAACTTAGGAATGCAAAGGGAGGACGCAAAGAGGCCCCGCCAGACAACCCTTTCTCAATCAATTAGCTTGCAGCCATTACTTGTGACCTTAGGTCACACAGCATAAGTGTGTGGGGTGTGCCTTCAGGGGTCCCAAGGCTACTTATTACAGCTTAGATAACCAAAACCAAGCAGACATTAAAATCTAGAAATATTTTAATAGAAAATGTGCTAATATTTTAACAGAAAATGTACATTTAATAGAAATGTACTAAATGTGACTAAAGGTAAACTCCAAGTGTCTTTTTGCAGTAACTACTATTTAATCCAGTGAAAGTTTTTTTCTATTAAGAAATCTAAAACAATATTTTTCAAGTTGAATCAAACAGGATTTAGGACAAAGTAGTGAAACTTTCTTTTTATGTTAAATTTCAAGCTGGAAATTTAGAAATGACAAGTAATATATCATATAGATCACAGGATCATATATGTATTATTCATACAGCCCAGGTTCTAAGGTCTTGAGTTTTTTAAAGAATTCTGGTTTGCTATACCTAACTGCAGAGTAGAGCTACTGTAAACAAAGTTTTCTATGCTTAAGGAAATCAAAACAACATCACTTTAGGGGCTAGGACTATTTTAAACTATTTAAATATTACGTGCTGTCTTAGTATCATGATTTCTCTGATTCTCATAGCTGTTTTAATGAGAATTTCTTTCTGTGCTCTATTTCAGACAAATGTTTTTCCTCTTTAACACACTTTTTAAATGAGACCTCAAAATAACAGAAAATAGGAGAAACACTAAAGAAAAATGTAATCTTTTAAAACTATATAATTGTGGAAATTTCATACTGTAAGTTTTCATATTCCTTGAAAACACTAAAAAATAGTCACCACCATCTATAAATAAATGATACAGAAACATCAGGCAATTTTATTTCAGATTAAATCCATACTTTTGAATAGTACAACCCAATTAAGAAGCACAGGCTTTTGGTGACTGGATTAGCCAATCTCTTCCCTCCGAAATAGCTGTTACTCAGAAATGGATTGGCCACACTCGTGTTTTCTCACACTGTTTAACTGGTGATGCCGCAAAGCATGTCTGATTCAGTACAGTGCAGGAATGGCAATATTCCATATGGATACCTGGCCAACTAAATTGTCTGCAAAGTGGACACTGTCTGATACAAATAAAAATGACAAACCAAAAATATCCAAGAATAAATAAGACAGGTGTGAGAAAACAGTGGCCAAATAATACTGTCTGGTGGACAGAGTCAGTTTTAAAAACCACAGTAACAAATAATGTGGTAATAAGAGTGTTAAAATCAGTTACAGGTGGGAGTTAGGGAAGAAATTAAGAGATTCCACTTTCTCCAACATGTAACAGGGAGTCATTGATAGGTTTGAAAAAACAGATTGACATTGCCTCTAAATAAATTTTAAAAAATAATAATTTGGTGTCTTTTAGTGATTCTGTTATGGGTGTTTTATGTATTGAAAACAGGCATTTTTGAAATACATTTTTGGCTTTTTAGCCAATAGATATGTAGAAAATGAAAAATTCTAATTACTGCCTGAGGAATACCTAGTTTTTAGAAATTTCTACAACTCAACACCACCTCATCATTGCATATTAAATCTTAATCTGTTATCAAGAGAGCAAGCTTTTTTTTCTTTTCTTGTTTCTTTCCTTAGAGACTAACAACTAACTTCAAAAAGTCAACAAGGCCACCAGGCCTTATACATTAGAAGTCTGTAATCATACACCTCAAAGATCTGGCCTCCATTCTGACAGAGCTACATGCACAAAACAAAGGACTTTCTGATAAAAGTTCAAAAAGGTCACTAATAAACTACATAAAACATAAAACATACACCAGCACTTGAAAGGGCCTTGGTTAGTTCACAGTCTATAGTGTATTTTTTAATGGAGAGTTGACTAAAACAACCACAGACATTCTGAATTACACATGGGTTATGAAAAAAATTTCCATTTGAAAAGTGTGGGCCAGGCTCAGTGGCTCACGCCTGTAATCCCAGCACTTTGGGAGGCTGAGGCGGGCAGATCACCTGAGGTCCTGAGTTCGAGATCAGCCTGACCAACATGGAGAAGCCCTGTCTCTACTAAAAATACAAGATTAGTCAGGCGTGGTGGCACATGCCTGTAGTCTCAGCTACTTGGGAGGCTGAGGCAGGAGAACTGCTTAAGCCTGGGAGGCGGAGTTGTGGTGAGCTGAGATCACGCTATTGCACTCCAGCCCAGGCAACAAGAACGAAACTCCATCTCAAAAAGAAATGAAATCTCTGGTATCTTGCATTGAAAAGGTCACTACCAGGATGCTATTGAAAAAAGCTGGTCAGTTTCCACTATCATTCATGGGGAAATGTCTGCTGCTCTAGTTGTCATGGTGATTTTATCAAACAATGCAGGTCATTTTTTACTAAGTTCATCTAATTTGAAAAAGCATCTCAATAGCTTAGATCATTTTACCACAAAAATCCTATGATGTGTATTTAGAGATGCTAAGTTAGAATAAATATGAAAATAATATATTTTAATTAAATAAAAGGCCATTCAAAATGCTAAGACATGATAATAATAGATGAAGTTACAGAGACATAATTTCTAAACATTACATAATAACAAGAAAATATTGCTACTTATTGTGTCATGTTGATATTTTCTACTCTAATTCTATTATGCATCTATACATTTGTCTAATCATTATGTCTTGGAAGATAGTTTGGGATGGAGAAGGAGAACTAAAATGAAAGGTCTGAAAAACATTACTATAAAAATTTTAGTTTTCCATAACATCTGGATAGCAGTCCACCACCATAAATTGGTCTCAGCCAACTTTTTGTTAAAACACTTAAACTGAAAACTACATTTCTCAACAATCCTAAAAACTAAGATTAACAGAGGTAATCGCTTTACCTTTCTTCTAAAGGTAATGACATGATGTTGTGCTAAGAAAAACAATAGGTGGTCTGCATTGTAGACAGATTAGTCCTGTCCATCTGAAAGTTAAGAAAGTATTTTAACATTTCTTGATTAACTGCAGTCATATTTATGGCCTGTTCCACCATAACTTGGACTGCCATCATTACATCGGGTGTCAGTAGAAGGTGCTGGTTCTTGGGATACATAGTGGTGTCCTTATATCACTCTCTCTTCCTATTTTGGTATTAGTACCCCAGGACAGAAAGTTGCAGTGGGGCAGGGGTTGGCGGAGGACAGAGCAGGGAGGGCTGGCATGTAACACACTACATCCCCCAAATATTAAAGTGATGTGTATAAAGTGATATATGTGTATATATAGTGAAGTATATATGTATATACTACCGGAAGATGGGTGAGAAATGAACTTACTGTATTAGGAATAGTAGCTTTTCATGCTTGTGAAATAACAAGGATTGGGACATAAAAGACCTATTTACTATTGAGAGCTAAGTCAGATTGCATAGAGATGTCCTGATCTCTAGCTGCTGGGAGGTCCACACACCAACGTGTCACCCAGCTGGAGCAACAGGAAGCAGATTTAATCAGCACAAATGGGATTTAACCATCAAGAAGTGGATAGTAAGAAAACAACAGGTGTTCTCTGGTTGTAAACATGACGTTGGATAGATCTAAGCTAATCCAGAGTGTTGAGCCAATAGAAAACAAATATAAAGGTGGAGCCTATATAAAAATATTACAGAGAAAATAGGATAAGAACATTTTTAAAAGAAGAGCAATAAATAAGTATATTGTTATTAAGACAGCAAAAACAGGGATTTTAAATAAAATTCACAAAGCCATGATCCCTATGATATAGGACAAGAAGGAGGAAACGGCCTAAAATAAAAGTAAGAAAATGAAATAGAGGTATATACTTTTAGAAAAAGCATAGTAAAGACAAAAATGAGGTAAGGATGATAAATGATACTGGGAAATTAAAATAGTGAAATGAATGACAAACTTTAAAATACAGGAGGTGTGTTTGAAATCCGTAGCAACAATATAGGTGAGCTTGCTGGAAGAAATCTTCTAATATTTTACTTTAAAATCTAAAACGTCACAAAACATAAGGAAAACTTAAAAATACACTCTGTGTTCTACCAAAAAGACACTTGCACTTGTGTGTTCATCACAGCACTATTCAGAATGGCAAAGACATGGAATGAACCTAGGTACCTGTCAGTGATGGACTAGATTCAGAAAATATGGTACATACACCCCATGGAATACTACACACCCAAAAAAGAATAAAATCCTGTCCTTTGCAGCAAGATAAATGCAGCTGGAGGCCACTATCCTTAGCAAATTAGTGCAGGAACAGAAAACCAAATACTGTCTATTCTCGTTTATAAATGGGAGCTAAGCACTGGGTACTCATAGACATAAAGATGGAAATAATAGACCTCGAGGTCACTAGACGGGGGAAAAGAGGGAGGGAGGAAGGAAAGGGCTAATGGTATGGGGTACTATGCTCACTACCTCGGGGACAGAATCATACATACCCAAACCTCAGCATCATGCACTATACCCATGTAATAAACCTGCATGTGTACCCCTGTATCTAAAATAAAGTTGAATTTTTAAAAAATGATATTAATAAAGATGGAAAAATGTCTATAAAAATGTGAAAAATTTTAACATATTTAATGCATAACAGCACTTTCCTTTTTATTTTAAAGGAAAAAAAGGACAAACACCTTAATTTAAAAAATGGATTAAAAAAAGAGGAAGAGACGAGTCAAAATAAATAAATAAATACTAAGGGAACGTTGATGTATGTTGTACATTTTTATTATGTTATCATTTAAAAAATATTCCGAGTGAGTTATTCTGTCACAAAATGAGTATTCTCATACATTGTTTATGAGTATACAAATTAA